TAAAAACGATTGTTAAACGAATTTATTTTTTTTCCGCAAGGACTCCGTAATATATGTGTATCGGTCTCTTTTGACAAAACTATGTTTACAATTTCTTATTTTACGACTTTTCGTTTCATGTTGTATTTGGCATCATGGGATAGCTCATTTCTTACTCGTTTTTCTTTTATACTTCTCTTTTTCATAGGGTGCGGGGGCTATTAAGGTAAAAGAGCTATGCTTCTGACCAAAATCACATCGACTTTTCTTCTTCTTCTTCTTCTTTTTTTCACCGGATTTCTTCCTATATGGTCAAGCAAAACTTGTGTCGGCATAGCATCAAAGAAATCTCAATGTTTTCCTGTTTTCCCTACGAGCACAGTACGACCTGATGTCCCACAACAATGTATAACCGCACCTTCGAAGGTGCGGTTTTCTTCTTCTATTGTATAACGCGAAAGAGAAGGAAATATATCGATTTGATTGAAGGCCAAAAAAAATTTCTTATATTGAGTGTTTTCGATATAAAAATACCGCTTCAATGTGGTTTCTCTCTGATGCCTTTTTTTCCCCGAGGGCAAGGACATTTTCACCTATATATATACCTTATGTAAATATACTCAAAAAGCTAGCTCAAAAGCAAACTCAAAAGTTTATTATACACATGTAGATACATCGAATTTTTGGACACATTTGTCAAAAAAAAAAAAAAAAAAAATACATGAAAAGGCACCAAATATAATGCTAATGGAGGAATTCCTTTTTGATGAACGTGGGAGTTTTCCTCGGGACTAATATCACCATTATGGGGCCATTTGTATATACAAGAAAGTCAAAAAAGAAGAGAAAATGGAACAAAAAGATAAAGGAGAGATTAATTTGAGAACTGAGGGATAGTTGTGATGATATTATGATTTATATGTGTAATTTTATAACAGTTGGATTTTTTTAATGATTGCTCATTACAGTAATTTATTAGGTTATATTCAACCTGTTAATTCGAATAATCCCCTCTCCCCTCTTTTTAAAAAGAATATAAAGTATATTTTCTCTTATTTTTTATACACGAAAAAATGTACTTTTTACTATTTATAAACAAAAAAAGCCTTTGCCATAGGGTTGTCTACTATTTTCGTTCAACAAAATTCCCGGTTATTTCCCGGCTTTGTTCTAAATTTTCCCGGTTTTTTTTTAACAAATTTAAATTTTTGATTTAAATTTAAAAAAAATTCTTTAAATTCAAACATGAATAAAGCAAGAAGTGTCCTCAAAAATTTTTATTACAGTTTTTATGAATAATTAAATTGTTATGACGAGTTTCTTTAAATTTTTTGAAAATAAATTTTTTTTTTATTAATTTTAATTAAAAATTTGGAAAATAATTAAATTAAACAAAGAATTATTTCAATTTTTTTAAATAATCTTTTCTGTTCATAATTATAATTGAAAATTTAATTAATTCAATTTTAATAAAATGTATTGATACTAATTGAATTTATGCAAAGAATTTTACTATTTACAAAATAGTAATTGAATCCTTCTAAAGAATGTTATTACATATTTATGAAAATAATTAAATGTTTGCGTAGAATATTATTAAAATTTTTAAAAATAATTGAATTTTGGAGAACAATTTAATTATTTATAAAGACAATATTAAAATTTTGACCAGAATTTAAAAAATTTTTTGAACAAAATTGAATTTTGAAGAAGAATTTTATTATTTATAAAGATAATTAAAATTTTGACGAGTTTTTTTTTAAATCTTTGTAAATAATTAAATTATTGCAAAGAAATTCATAAATAAATTTGTAAATAATAGAATTCAATTGAAATTTTTATAATTTATGAAAATAATTAAATGTTTTTGTAAAATTTTATTAAATTTTTTTTTAAAAAATTGAATTATTTTGAAAAAGTTTTTTTTAAAATAGTAAATATTGAAAATCATTATAAATTGAGGAAAATTGTTGAAAATAAGTCCCATAGCAAATGTATTCGTTCTTATTTCTCAATAAACACGATTTCAATTTAAAAAAATTGTTGAAAATAATTGAAATTTTGACAAGAATTTGATTAAAATTTTTGAAAATAATTGAAATTTTGCCAAGAATTTTATTAAAATTTTTGTAAATAATTGAAATTTTGCCAAGAATTCGATTAAAATTTTTAAAAATAATTGAAATTTTGCAATGAGTTTTACTATTTATGAAAATAATTGAATATATTGCGAAGAAATTTTTAAATATAAAATTATAATTACGGTGACTAACTTCCCTATTGATTATTTTCGAAAAATTTAAATAAAATTCTTTAAATAAAATAAAGAATTTAATTATTTTTCAATAGAATGTAAAGAAATTTCAATAATTTCAAAAATTTTCAATTATTTGTTTATAAAAATTCAATTATCTTGAAACAACAGAATTAAAAAATTTCAAAAATCTTATTTTTCAGAATTTTCAAAAAAAAAACTTTGCGTATATTTATTTTTATTAAAAAATTTTAAGTGTGCATCTTTTTTTAAACTAACTAATAAAAATTTTAATTATTAATCTTCGCACTAAGAAACATGAATACATTAGAATGTGACTCTTTATAAAATTCAATTATTTATCAATTATTAAATTAAAATACTTTGAAAATTCCATTTGTTAAAAAGTTTTTAATGAAATTCTTTAATAAATTTAACAAATTTAAGCAACAAAAGTGTTGCGAAGCAACCTTTTGATTCGTTTTTTGTCTCAATTTGATATCCGCAGAAAAACTAAAGTATAATTTAAATTAAATTCAAAAAATTAAATTTTTTTATAATAAATTTAATTTAAAAATGTTTAATTTTGAATATAAAAATACAGAAAACTCAATGAATCTTATAAACTTTCATTCATATAGAATTATTTTAGAGTACTTGTATATTTTTTACAAAAGAATTCACTTTTCAACATTCGTATACGTAAATAAGGATGAAAAGAACCCTAAAATCTATTTTCACGAATTGTATTCTCTGAATGAGCACATAAGCCTTTTATACATGGACGATGAACAACATTACGCTGCGAAAAGTTTGTGTACGTAAAAAATCGTTTTACCTCCCTGAGGAGGGAATTAGCTTTACTATTATCAAATTGTCCGCACTGTCGATACGCCAACAAACTTTTATAAAGAAAATAAAGAACAGGTACACTTTATATGTCAAAATAAGATTCTCATTCCTAATACGTGAAAAAATTTTGCGCCCCTAAAAAAACATCCACACCGCAATAGCATAGCGTCTCTATTCTAAAAAGTATTCCAAAAAAATACAAACAAAATTTCTATATAAATTCGAAAAAAAACTAAATCTAAATCAGTTAAAATTTTAACTCATTTGAATTGTTAATAATTTTTTTTTAGTATTCTAATATATTTTTAAATAATAAAAATGAAAATAATAATAACAACAATAATAATCAAATAATGGAAATACAATTCAATTTACCCAATCGGCAATTTTATTGTTCGGAAAATAAGTGGACCAATCACTATGCCATACCTATAACAAATGACTACGCCATTGGTGTAGACAATTTTTCCAATTGTCCATGAATCAAGCATTGATTTTACACGAGAGATACAGTGAAGCATGAAATTAAATACCATTTTAGAAAACATTATGAGACGATGAATGAAAGGGAAAAAAAAGAAGAGGGAGTGCGGAAGCCAAATGGAGAATAGGAACAACAACTGTCCAGTTTTCTGATCCTAGTGACAGGACAATGAGATCTAACAACTGACGAAGATAGGATAATACCAGGGACAGAAGATGACAATGGACCAAAGTCGACTTAGCGCAAATATTTGTATACGCGATTCGCTGACCAGTTTTTTTTCTCTTCTTTTTTTTATTCTCTGCATCTTCATTTTTTCCTCTTTTTCATTATATGTGTACTGTATAAATACAAAATAGTAAAAAAAAAGAAAAAAGAAGAAGAAGGAGCAAAAGGATAAAGAAAAAGTACTTGTGTGGTTTTTTTAGCCTCTTTATCGCAGAATTGCTCAACTAAGTAAACAACAATAAACATGAGAGTCTTTTAGAGACAGTTGACTGCTTTTTTAAAAAATTCAATAATAGAAAAGCAGGTCCATTAAAAAGCGCATCATTATGCCGAATACACAATTTATATTCTTGTTGATGAGAAGAATGAATTGTACTCAGAATCGCGAAATGAAAGCGAAACTATTTTCATTATTATTAATATTCTTTTTTAATATTATTTTAATTAAATTATTATTATCATGCTTAGCAGAAAGTATAAAAATTGAATAAAAAATGAAAAAATGACATTATACCATTCGTGGAATGAAAAAAAAGACTTTTCTCAGAATTCGTGCGTATAAAAAGGTGCTAAGCGTGTGCGATAATGTCTTCTCGGTTAAATAAAGGAAAATGAGCTTTCTTTTTGAAATTACTGGCATATGATGTATATACAACAATAGTGTATATATTCAACGACTAAAATCGTTAAAACACATCAATCGTATACATGAAATCACCGACAAAATGGCCGTCAAATTCAAAATGGTGGGCAAATTTTACGAGAACTTTATGGATCCCTGTAATGAGCGTAGAACGAATGTACGGAACCAATTTCAAGCGAAATGTTTGAATGCAGACAGACGTATTAGAAGCACGCTCGAAAAACTATAAAACGAATGAAACTGACGAATGAAGTTAAAGTATTATTACTAAATAAAAACTCTCAAAGCCTCATTATAATCCCTAATGCGCATATGCACCACACAACTTTACACGAGAAATTCTTATATTCAAAACGAGTATCGCACCTTAAGTTTTACAATTAGTTCAAAATATCCTTGAATAAAATTCAACACAATTTATTGTAAAATTAAAAATTTTACAATTGTTCCAAAATCAAAAATTTTACAATTCTCTAAAATATTATTTGAAATATTTCTTTTAATGTCTATTATTTACAATATTTTTTATTAAACAAATTTTTTTTTCTTGTCATCAACAGGAAGATGTGGAGAGGATTCGGACACTGAAAGTGAACCAGGAATTCCTCTAAAGAGGAAACAGAGGAGAAGTAGAACAACATTTACTGGAGAACAACTCGAACAACTGGAGGCTGCTTTTCAAAGAGCTCAGTATCCGGATGTTTATGCTAGAGAGGAACTCGCTCAAAGGACAGGCCTCACTGAAGCCAGAATACAAGTAAGTTCATTTTCAAGTCATTAATCTTCCAAAAATTTATTTCCTCGACTACTTTATTTTCAGTTTAATTCCAAACATGTTTATCACCCGAGAGAATAAATAAGATATAAACATACGTTAATTTCTGTTTCTTGTTGCACAAAGATGACAATATTAGTAAATTTTACCAAGAAATTAGTAATTACTATTTATTAGTCAAAGACAAAAAATGTATCAAAATTGTTCAGACTTCGCACTATAGATAATTAATTTTAAAAAAGTAGAAAAAATAGCTTTCAAACTAAAACAAATAGTAAATAAAGTTACCGAAAAATTAAACTTGACAACCAAAAAAATCGTTTTTAGACACTTCACAAAACTGACAAAAATTCCATTCTATATTTCATTTTCCTGACTTTTTCCTAATTTTCATCAAAAATATTTACTTCTTTCTTATCCAGCTAATAAATTCAATTCTTGCAACGAAATTTTATTATTCATGAAAGAATCTAATATTTATAAAAATAATTTAATTCTTGCGAAGAATTTTATAAAAATGTTTAAATAATTGATTTCTTTCGACTAATTTTATGCAAATTCTAATTTAAATAATTGAATTCCTGAGAAATTTTTATTATTCATGAAAAGAATTAAATTCTTACGAAGATCATTACAAACAATTTTTTAAATGAATTGAATTCAGTTTGGAAATTTTATGAATAAATAGTAAACATTGCAAATCATTGAATTGCGAAGAGTTTTTAAAAATAATTAAATTTTACAAGAATTCTATTAAAATTTTTGAAAATAATATTGAATTCCTAAAAAGCATTTTATTATTCATGGAAATAATTGAATTCTTGCGAACAATTTTATTAGAATTTTTTTAAATAATTGAATTCTTTCGAAGAACTATTTATGTAAATAATTAAATTCTTGGGAAGAATTTGATAAAAATCTAAAAGAAAAAATGAATTTTTTCAAAAAAATTTAATTAAAATTGTATTTAAAATAATTGATTTATTTCAAACAATTTTATTAAAATATTTGAAAATAATTGAATTCCTGTAAAAAAAATTCTAATATTTTTGTAAATAATTGAATTCTTGGAAACGATTTTATTAGAATTGTTTGAAATAATTTAATTTCCAAGAAGAAATTAATTACTTTTAAAAATAATTAAATTCTTGTGATGAATATTGTTATTTATGAAAATAATTGAATTTTGCAAAGAATTTTATCAAAATGCCGAAAAATCATTGAGTTTTCGGGAATAATTTTGTTATTTATCGTCATAATCGAATTCTTTTGAAGAATTATTTATATAAATAAGTGAATTTTTGTGAAGAATCTTATTAAAATCTAAAAGAATAATTAAATTATTTCAAAAAAATTTAATTAAAATTGTATTTAAAATGATTGATTTCTTTCGAACAATTTTATTCATATAATTAAATTCCTGTTAAAAAATTCTAATATTTTTCTAAATAATTGAAATCTTCCAAAAAAATTTAAAGAAAACATTTTTTTTAATTAACTGATTTTTATGATGAATTGAAATTTAATTTTTAAGAATAATTACATTTCTCGAGCAATTCCTGTAAAATTGTATTAAAAATAATTAAAATCTTGCGATTAATTTTATTATTTATTAAAATAATTTAATAGTTGCTAAAAATTTTATTAAAATTCTCAAAAATAATTGAATTCCTGAGAAGAATTTCATTATTTATAAAAATAATTGAATTATTGCGAAAAATGTATGAAAATAATTGAATTTTGGATGAATTTTATAAATTTTTTTAATTAAATATTTGAATTCTTTTGCGAAATTTTATGAGAATACTAGATATTGAAAATAACTGAATTTCGAATATTTTTAAAAAATAATAATTGAATCATTTTAAAGAATTCGATTATAATTTTTAAGGATAGTTTTTTGATTTCTAGTATTAGCGAATTTAAAGTATAGTAAAAATTCTGTAAAAAAGACAGAAATAGTATAGCTTTTAGTGGCTGAAATCTAAAGAAAAGTACCCAAATAGTAGGTTTTAGTAGATGAGTGCGAAGCCTGCGTTTTGATACGTTTTTTGTCTAAATTTTTCTATCCTTAGAAAAACTATTGTGTTTAGATTCCAAAAAACTAAAATTTAATTCAGATTCAAGAAGATCAAAATACAATTCAGATTTAAAAAGTTCAAATTCAATTCAAATTAAAGCAAAATAAAATCAGGGTTGACACAGTTTTTCTATTTTAAAATTCCCTGACAATTCCCGGTTTTCCAGACCTGTGGCAACCCTGAAAATTTAACTCAGATCTTTATCAGAGAATAAAAAAAGAAAACCAAAAAAATTCAATTTTTAAAATTTTGTTTCAGGTCTGGTTCAGCAATCGACGAGCAAGACTGAGAAAGCACGCGGGTAGTGTATCGCATTCAATGAACAGTCTGCCCTTGACTCCGTGTCAATATGCAACGGGTCACGATTTAAGTCAAATCCCACAAGTGCCCCAAATTCCAGGAGGTATTCCCCAGGTGCCAACAACACTGCATCAGGTCCCAACGAGTCTGCATCAAGTGTCCGGCTCAGTGGCTCAAATGGCCAATTCAATGGCCCATGTGCCCACAACTATGGGCAGTGCTCTACAAGGTCACGTGTCCCTCTCAGGACATTTGGGCTCACTCTCAGGACACTCGAATGGAATGCAACTCGGTCAGGTTCCTGGGATTCAACCACCTGTTGCTCATGGTGCACCCACATCTCTTTCTCATTCCAGTGGTACGTATAAACACGCTCATTGAATTTCATTTAAAAAACAACAAATTTCGATATTTACGAATGAAGATTTTGACTAATAATACTAACGACTAATAAAATTCTAACATTAAATTTCGATAATATAGTAAAATTTGCAGTTGTTCCAGATAAAATTCTTTTGCAGATTTAATTTTTTTCTTCAAATTACAATGAATTGTATTAAAAATAAATCATAGTAAAAACAAATAGTAATAAGAATAAATCGTAATAAAAATAAATTATAATAAAAATAAAATATAATAAAAATAAATTATAAGAACAAATCGTGACAAGAATAAATCGTAATAAGAATAAACAGCAATAAGAATAAATTATAATAAAAATAAACTATAATAAAGTATAAAGTATATAATAAAAAAATACTATAAAAAAATTGAAAGTTAAATAAAATGATGATTTGTTTAACAGGTAATAGTGAGTGGTCGAGAGCACAACTAGGATGGAGTCAATTTAATCATTTCCAAGGTGGTGAATACCCTTCATCTCACGCCAGTCATCAACTAGCTTCCCACACAACTCACGGTGCTCAAGTTACGAGTAGCGCAACTACACCTTCCACAGAATGGTACGATCAAAATTACGAATACGCGCAGCATGCACAATTGAATTATCATCGTAGCATTGGTGGAATATTTTAATTTTTAATTTTGTAGAAAAAGCCAAAATTTTCCCTTATATCTAAATATAGAAACATATATGTGTACATATATAAATAAATATATTGTAAATAGAACAAAATATATTATTATACAGAAGAACAATTCCAAATGTTGTCATTAAAGATGAAAAACCCTAATCTTCTCCTATCCTCACAATAATATTTCCGACATGTAATCTATTTCTATTTCTTATTTTTATTATTTTTTCAATTAAATAGGGTAAGTCCGGGGGAGATGGCCATATGGGAGAGATGGCCAGTTCGAATATTTTACAGAATTTGTAAAGAAATATCACTTTATATGGGTTATTCTTCAACCTTTTGTGATTAATAATAAATCTAAGGAATAATTTGATGAAAAATAATGAAGCTGTAAGTGTAATCCTTGTTTATTTTTTTTGCATGGGTCCAAAATAATTTGAAAATTTCAGATTTCTTGTTGCTATATTGTTATTTGTTAACATAATTTTTAAATTTAAGTTTTATTGAGTAGTGTATAATGATAAATCGTCCAAACGCCCGTCCTGCCGGAAGGACGTTCCGAAAAAAAGGCTTTTAAAAAAAGGGAATTCAACTTTTCTTTTCTGGCACTCCTTGGGATTAAAATAGACGAAAAGACGAAAAAACCCATATTTTTGACTTTTTAAAATAATAATTTAAACCATTTTTCAAAGCCTTCAAACTTGCTATGTTTTTAAACAGTGAAAAAAACATTTTTTCGTAAATTTAATGTAAAATCCCCAAAAATCAATATTTTTTGACCGGACAAGTCTCTTTCTCTTCAGAAACGTTCAAAGAATGAAACCTAATTGTTCAATTAAAAAAAAATTCATTTTTAATATTGTTCAGTATATCTGAGTAATACTCAGGCGCGAGTCCCTTCGAAATTGCTCTATAAAATTAATATGGAAGCAGATAAATATAAAACTAAATATATCGTTGAAAAGGTAATGAAACAAGCTTTCAAATGATGAAAATATCGAGTCTTTAAATTTATTAACCTGGGCTAGGTAGTCTCTTAAATAAAGCGAAAAGCGTCCTGCCGGCAGGACCGGGCTTCGTCATTCTGTGACTAAAAATTATGTGAATTTTTGGAACATGTAACTTCTTCAAACTACCCAGCCCTTAGTTTTGAACTTACAAGCTCGATATTTATATGCACTGAAAGCTTGTTTCGTTACCTTTCCAATGATATATTTCATTTTTTATTTATCTGAATCCATGTTAGTTTTCTTTAGTGATTTCGGAGGGACTCACCTGAGTCTTTTTCGTCCTGCCGGAAGGACGTTGGACGATTTATCAATAACCCACGCTTCGATATAAACGAAAAATGAAAGGAAAAATTATTTTATTTATTTAATATTTTGATGTTTACTTTTATCATGAATTTTTGGGTAAGATGGCCATTAATGACTTTTATTTAAAATTTTTTTATGTTAATGTTAGATACTTGAGAAATATTAAAGAAAAGCAAATTAAAAATGTCTGAGAACAAAATAATTGATCTAATTGACACCAGAGATGGAGATTTATTTGTAGGTTGTGCTAAAAGTTACAACCGAACGACATTAATTGAAGATTCAATTCAATGCAGAATTTGACACTTGTGGCTACATAAAAACTGCTCTGAACCCCATGAAAAATTTTCAAAATGCGACCAGAAAAAGAGGAAAGTGATGTGAACGATTAAAAATTAAATTTAAGATAAAAGCCAAAAATTATAGGTAGTGGCCATCTCACCCGGACATTCCAGAGAAATGGCCAAATGCACTTTTTCGAAAATGTAAATTTTAAGATTGTTGCAATGAAAATATTTTATTTTATGTTTCTTTATTTTCAAGTTAAGTGTTCAATGTTTAATTATCAATAAAAGTTTAGACAAAAAAAGCTTCTTTATAAATTTTACACTACTTTAAAAAAACTATGGCCATCTCCCCCGGACTTACCCTATCAAAATTTTGGAACAAATTTAATTTCAAATTGGGAAAAGTAGCTATACTAATAACCGAAGAACAAGACCTATACATCTACAATAGAAAGCTGATAAAGATAGAGTCCATCAATCAACGTCTTGCGTTTCTTTTCAGTCAACTGCAAATATTTATGCAAATATTTTGAAAAGGTTTTATTTCTGAATCTTTGTTTCAATACACTAACAAGATAATTTCGGCAAATAATTATAAGCTTTTCAGAATTTACCGATGGCTTTAAAAATCGTAAATTTCAATACCAAGGTCGAATTTCAATGCATCGAAAAATCTCTTAACATTTATAATTAATATCAATATCGAGCACAATTTTCACTAAACCATTTTAATCGAAATTCAATATTTTATTCGTATTGCTATTATTATTATTTTTATTATTATTATTATTATTATTATTATTATTATTATTATTATTATTATTATTATTATTATTATTATTATTATTATTATTATTATTATTATTATTATTATTATTATTATTATTATTATTATTATCATTACTATTATTATTTTTATTAATATTTTTCTTACTATTATTTTCATTGCTATTAATTATTTATGAAATATAATGAAAGTAAAAAAATTAAAAATCATTTTGAATTTTCATTATCGATAATATGTTTCAAAGCACGATAAATATTTAAAATGATTCCTGAAGAGTATTCTTTTTTTAATAATAAATTTAACAAAAATTTACTATCACTGCGATTATGATTTATTAATTTACAATATCACCAGTGTGCGAGGAAGTGAATTTCTTAAGTTGTTAAATATATTTCGCGGAAAATTGCTTATCGGGAATTTACAACTTTGATTTACTATAATGCGAAAAAAAGCCCTTATCAAACCATCAGCGTCACAATTTTAAATTCCTACCTACTTCTTTATTACACGCATATGTATATAATGAAAAGTTAGAAAGATCTATTCGCAGAAAATAGTTATAACATTTCCCAAAAATGAAGTGCACTGTGTTCATTACAGGTTTTCTGGTAAGTTACCATCGTCTAAAAGTAATATACTATCAATTTTTTATGGAATGAAACAAACTTTTAATATTGGATGAACAAAAAGGGAAATAAAAAAATAATAAAAATTACACAGTTTTTCTGCTGATTTCAAATTGAGACAAAAAACGAATCAAAATTCTTGATAAATAACAAAAATTCAATTATTTTTAGGAATTTAAAAAAAAATTCTTTACAAAATTCGATTATTTTTACAAATAACAATATTCATCACAAGAATTCAATTATTTTCAAAAGTAATAAAATTCTTCGAAGAAATTCAATTATTTAAAAAAATTTGAACGAATATCTCGTCATAAGAATTCAATTATTCAATTATTATCATAAAATTTATCAAATAATATAATTATTGAAAAAAAAAATTTTAAACAATTTTACGTAAACATTCAATTATTTTCATAAATAATAAAATTTCATTTAGGAATTCAATTTTATTTTCATGGCAGAATTTCCAATATTTTTAATACGATTTTAAATAAATTCAAATTTAAGAAACATTCCATTATTCAATAAAATAATAAAATTCGTTGCAATAATTCAATAATTTTCATAAATAACTTTTCATTCGGAAATTAATTATTTTCAAAATTTCTTAAGTAATTCAACAACAATGTCTTCCACATATAATCAATTATTTTAAGGAATTTTAATAAAATTCTTTTCCAAAATTCAATTATTTCGATAAATATTAAAATTCATCATAAGAATTCAATTCCTTTGAAAACTAATAAAATACTTTCCAAAAATTAAAATATTTTCAAATTTTTTAAAAAATTCCCATTAAAAATTAAATTACCTTTTTTATAAATAGAGCGAAAACCTTGTCAAGAATAAAATTATTCTCAAAAATTTTTATAATTTTACTCTTGGCAAAATATAAATTATTTAAACGAAATTTAATCAAAATTCTTCGCATGAATTCAGTTATTTTCATAAATTATTATTTAAATTCTTCTCAGGAATTCAATTATTTTAAAAAATTTTAATAAAATTCCTCAAAAAGTTTTCAATTATTTTCAAAAATTGTTATAAAATTCTTTATAATATGATAAATTTCAGTAAAATTTTAATTCAATTCCTTAAAAGAAATAAATTATTTTCAAAAGTTGTTAATAAAATTCCTTGTAAAAATTAAATTCTGAGAAACATTCAATTATTGAGTAAATTATTTATTTTTGTATTTAATTAATTGAATTCTCGTAGAACTTTAGTCATAAAAATTGATTTAAAAATTGATAATTTCAGTTAAAATTTTAGATGATAATTAAATATTAAAAGCATTAGGGGGGAATATTTAGAAATAATTGAATTTTGAAAAGGTTTCGGATTCAAATCTTTAATTATTATTATTAAAACATGAAGAAATCGATTACTCCGAGTCGAAGACTCGGAGTGATCGACTTCTTCATGTTTTATAATAATATTCTTATAAGTTATTGAATTTTAAAAGATTTGAATTTGAAATAAGTAATTTAATTTACGATCTTAATTATTTACAGTGGAACCTCGATTACCCAAAAGTCTGTTGTCCGAACTTTTTTGTCATCTTAACTAAAAATTTAATTTCTTACAACTATTCGTACAAAAATCTCGAAAATTAAGCAATTTTATTGAAAATCTTTTGATTTTAATGTAAATATCTAAAGAAAAGATATAAATACCTCATTCAACATTAGTGTAAAGACTCAAAAAAAATCTAAAATTACAAACGAAAATATTTGCAATTTGTATTAACCGAACTGGATTCTGTCAGAATTAGTTTCGAAAATCGATGTTCGACTGTACGCGATAAATATTCTTTTAAGTAATGAAGAAAACTTAACAAAAAATTCAAAAATATAAAACAATTTCAGGTTCTTTGTTCTATAATACATTTGGCACAAGGCAACGTTCTCTACAGAGACAAAAGATCAAAATCTCCTCAGTGGTCATCATTCATCATCAACAGTTCTGGAAGTAAAAACAGTGGTAACACTATTTCGAATGGAAATGACGATATCAGTGGAAATCTAGTGAACGGAAATAACAATGGAGATAACTCCAATTCTGGAAATATTAATAAACCTCCACCTCGACCTACTACAACAACTACAATAGCTTCAACGTCATCTGCAACATTATCTACTCCTCGATCAGGTATAACTGATCCTCCTCCCTTGACAGATCTTACAACCTCAAATGATCTTCAACCTTCATCAAGTTCTCCATCATCAAATCCCACTGATAATGGTGATTCCACTGATAATGATAATCCTACGTCAACTGATAATGATAACCCCACATCAACTGACAATGACTCCACATCATCGACAAATCCCGATTCTGAACCTTCAACTACACAATCTACCGGAAATAATGACGACAATAATAATCAAGAATCAACACCTTCAGCGGCTGATAATTCCAATACTGACTCAACAACCACCGAAGCATCATCAGACCAATCAACTTCATCTACACCAACAAATCCAACAACAGATTCCAATACTGACTTAACAACCACCGAAGCATCATCAGACCAATCAACTTCATCTACACCAACAAATCCAACAACAGATTCCAATACTGACTTAACAACCACCGAAGCATCATCAGACCAATCAACTTCATCTACACCAACAAATCCAACAACAGATTCCAATACTGACTCAACAACCACCGAAGCATCATCAGAACAATCAACTTCATCTACATCAACAAATCCAACAACCGAAAATAATCAAAATGGATCCAAAGATCCAGCAGAATCTTCACCAACATCCTCGGCAAGTGAATCATCAGCTTCTTCGGAGACAACAACTGCTCTAAATGAAGAACCTACCACCACTTCAAATCTAGAAACAACAATTACTGCAGATGAAGATTCTCCCATTACTACAAATTCTCAATCGGATGGCACTTCATCCTCATCAACAGGTACATCCTTCATATCATCAACTCCAACGAACGATGACAAAAACACCAAAAAATCCATAATCGGTGGAATAATTACAACTATAAGTGCCATTATTCACAAAATTATAAGCAATGTTCTAAAAACAGAAAATGACAACATCGACGATAATATCCAAAATAACAATAATATACATAACAGAAATGATAAAATTCGATGAACGAGAACTTGGTGAATGAAAAATGAAGAAAAATAAAAATATCCAGAGAGAAAAAATTCTAGAGGACAATTTTCGAAATCATTTTTCGAAATAATTTTTCAAAATCATTTTTCGAAAGGCGAAGAATAAATAAATAAATTTGCAAATAAAATTTCCAAATAGAAACAATCCTAACAAGTAGAATAATACAAAAAATTTACAATTCGTATGAAAGTCTAACCAAATAATTCCAAAAGAAACATATCCAACAAGTAAAATATTAAAATTTACCAATTCGTATAAAAGTGTAAATTTTCAATCATTTCTATACTTTTATTACAGATGGTCCGAGCGAGGGTCCGATCTTATCGCCATTAATTATAAACAACGCCGGGAACAATAACACTGACAACTCCATTTTGAATGGTAATGACGACACTAGTGGAAATCTAATAAACGGAAACGGAAACGGCGACAACCAAAATTCTGGAAACATCGATTCCGGTACATAGAAGAAAAATAAAAATTACACTTATACAAAGAAAAAAAATAAAATCATCTAACATTAAGTCGAAAGCAAATGATCAATTTACAAATAATAATAATTTATAAATAAGATATAATATAAAACATAATTTTATTACAATTCTAGGATCCTCATTAGCAACTTTTATCATAAACAACGCGGGTAGCAACAACGCGAACAACAACATAACCAATGGAGACGATAATTCTGACGGTAACTTGATAAATGGAAATGGAAATGGCAACAATACCGAATCCGGAAATATATCGAGACCAAAAAATAAAAGAGCTTTGCCCCGAATTATCAATAATTCGGGTGACAGCAACAAAGATAACAGCATCAGTAACGGAAATGACAACAGCAATGGAAACCTGATAAACGGAAATGGAAATGGTGCAAATTCTGACTCGGGTAACACTGATGGGAGTGAAAATAAAAAACGAGAGAAAAGATGTACCTGTCTTGATGCCTAATAAAAATTTAAATAAACTTTAATAATTATAGTACAAATTAATTTTTAATTGCTTCAAAAAAATTTTATTTCCTTCAAACAAATTTTATTCGGTACAGATAAATTTTAATTCGGTTCATATAAGTTTCATTTGATATACAAGTAAAATTTTATTTTGTTCAAATAAAATTTTATCCGGTTCAAATGAAATTTAATTCGGTTCAAAAAAATTTAATTCGGTTCAAATAAGTTTTATTTGATTCATCTAAGTTTTATTTAATACAAATAAATTTTATTTGGTTCAAATAAATTTTATTTGAACCAAAATAAATTTTATTTAGTTCAAATAAAATGTTATTCGGTACAAATAAGTTTTATTTAGTCCAAATAAATTTTATTTGGTTCAAATAAATTTTATTCGGTCCAAATAAAAATTATACTCTTACCAAAACAACATTTTATTCGTGACAGTCTAAAAGAAAATCACTATTTTAAATTTTAGTTATTAAATTAAATATAAAAAAATTTTTTAATATTGTGAATTTAAGAAGAATGTTTATAACGCGCAGAAATAAAGAGTCATGGACTCATTTTACTTTAATATTATTATCATTTTATTGTCATCAGATTATCCACAATTATTGTCAATTTTAAACATATTTTACGAAGGTCATTACAATAAAGGTCGTGCAACACTTTTTTTTTTTAGTAATTATATGTCATCCACAGCAATGATTCAAAGAAAAGAGAAAAGCACTCTATAATTGGAGTCATTTTCTAAAATTAAAACAACAAATTTTTTTCCACATATTTATGAGAAAAATATTTACCGATTCCATTAAATACAATTTAAATTTATTAACAAACCAATCATTATTTATAGATTATTACCAATTATATTCTTTTTTATTAATTAATATATTAAAAACATTTGACTTTACAAAAGTTTGTTTTTTTTCAATATAGTAAATAACAAAATTTTCCATATAATTATAATTTTCTATAATTATAATTCCTGATAGTTTTAATTCTATATGATAATCACTCTAAATATGAATCAGTAAAAATTTGCCTGCCAATCAGTGACTCTATTTCAACGAATGAAATTAAACTGAAAATCAGTTAAAAATTACACCCAGGGAAAACTTTTATTCAAACCAAATAAAATTTATTTGACGTAAATAAAAATATATTAGACTCAGAGAACACTAAATTATTTATTTATTTTAAATAGAAATTTTATTCGATAATAAAATTTTTATTTGAATCAACTAAAATTTATTTGAAACAAATAAAAAGTTTAGTAGGCTCTGAGTCAAAAATATTTTTTTTCTGGGCATCATTTCTCACTAGACTATTAAAAAATAATTAAAAATTCCAGTAATGCATATATTGAAAATTTCAGTCGTTTTTCAATTATTAGTTAATCAGTGAAAATTCCTAATATCTCAATCATTTTTAACTAATTTTCAGTGTAAAATTTTAACACCTACTCTGGGAAGAATCGAACCCTAACTTTCAAATTTCCACACTTACGCCTTAACCACCGCGGCTAATGTCAAGTGTAACTGATTTTCAAAATTTTCAAAATTTCCTTAACTAAACTCGTGAGAATAAAGTCACTAAAAATCAATCAAACTTCACTGATTCAGTTTTAGAAACTACAATATTTGTACAGTAATTATAGTATTTTTCATTTTTTTCAAAATCAAAATATTATTTACTCAAATATCTGTAAATCGAAAAAAAGACTGCTGTCTTTATTCTAGCAAATTACTCCCTCTCAATATTCAGCAATATTTTTTCTTTCAAATATATTATCAATTTTCGGATCTATATAGTTATTTTTTCAAATTTGACGACACATAAATCTAGTTACTTACGAACTATATATAATCACGTCAGAGGCATAAAAAAAGAATTTTTGGATTTTTTTTTCTACAAGTCAGTTTCTAAACGGACGGTTTTTGAAGTTTTATACCTTTAAAAAAAATCAGTTTCTTCATATACATTTATATATTATTTGTATATATGTGTATATATATTAGAGAAAATTATTTTTATTCTCTCATTAAAAAAGAAAACATATTTTTCAAAATGTGTTTGATAAAAAATTTAAAAATGTTAAATTTTGTATTCATAGTTTTTTAAAAAATGTACAATAAAAAAATTGCACACGTCATGAGATTTTATTCTTAAAATACAATATTATATTCCCATTAAATATATATATTGTACGATATTTATTATAATGTCCAAGAATTCTTTTTACTCTGCAGTTTCCTTCGTAGTACATTAAAGTATATAATATTTTGTTATAATTAGAGATCCACGACAAGAAGTTTTCTCTTCGTTAAAAAAAAAAGAAAATGGAAATATATCATTCAATGTCCAATATTCAATATAAACTTTACAAATTCTTACATTCAATATTGTTTTCAATGTATATTTTTTATTCGGTTCTCGCTGTGAGTGTTTCTCGACTTTTTCTCGAATGCATCTCTAGTTATAATATAAATACAAAGATGTACACTTTGAAAAAGAAAACGAAAAAATATATAAATTACTGAATTAAATCTATTACTACGTTTACAATATTTTAAGCCACAATTACTCATTTTATAGTCTCATTTTTTTTCCTTGTTTTTTGTTTTTATCTTTGAAACTACTATTAATTACAAACTACGAAGATATGACAAGATTATGTTATAATAAATAGTATCGCCTGATAATTTTCTTTTTCGCAATATAATAATGAGCAAAAGAAGCAATTTATTATTTTTGAAGTGCTTTTTGAAGTGCTTTTGAAGTGCTTTTTAAAGTGTTTCTTAAAGTATTTTTAAAAGTATTTTTCAAAGTATTTTTAAAACTATTTTTCAAAGTATTTTTTAAAGTATTTTTCAAAGCATTTTTTAAAGTATTTTTCAAAGTATTTTTTAAAGTAATTTTTTTGAAGTATTTTCATAAGGTATTTTTATAAAGTTTTTTTTAAAGTGTTTTTTAAAGTAATTTTTTGAAGTATTTTCTTAAAATGTTTTTTTAAAGTTAAAGTATTTTTTTAAGCAATATTTTGTAAAGTATTTTTTTGAAGTATTACTTTTTTTTGTATTTATTGAAAATCCCAGAATTTTTCAATCATTAATAATAGGTGCAGTAATTTATAACAAATGTCACTGTCGAAAAAGGGAAAAAATTCTATATATTAGATAATAATTCTTATATAATGTTTATATGTAATCTTGATTTTTAATCTTCGATATCAATTCGAAAACTTTATGTCATCCAGATTAACATTTTTCTTTTTTGTTTTTTATTGTCGATAACGATATCATATAGAGATGATGCCATATTTTTATATATATATATATTTATATAATTATTGTATTAAAATGACGTTTTGAATGTGTCAAGATCAAACACGTCGCACTTTACAGTCCAGAGAATCGTAATTATTTTATATAAGGAAACTATTGTCCAATTTGTACTGTATTTTATAGACATTCTCCCCAGTAAAAAACAATTAAATAAATAAATACTTCCTCTGTTAGGAAGCAATAAATAAATAACAATAAAATAATAATTTAAAAACAATATAATTATCAAAAATTTGTTCAAATAAATTCGATTCAAAGTAAATTTTCTTTGATTAAAAAAAAATGTCTTTGATTCAAACAAAATTTCTTTGATTCAATAAAAATTTCTTAGATTCAAAGACAATTTATTTGTTTCAAAGAAATTTTCTTTGATTTTTTTGATTCAATAAAAATTTCTTCGATTCAAAAACAATTTATTTGATTCAAAGAAATTTTCTTTTTTAAATTAAAGAATTATTTCATTGACTCTATATGTTAAATGAAAAAATTTCTTCGATTTAAAGAACAAAATTTCTCGATTTTTTTTTAAAGAAATTTTGTTTGAACTTGAAGAAAATTTTTTGAAATCAAAGAAAAGTTGTTTAAATCAACGAAATTTTTTTTTGAACCAAAAAGCCACTTTTTGGTTGAAAGAAACATTTATTTTAACTAAAACAAAACGAGTCTAAGAAACTATATTTTCTTTTTAATAAGAAAAAAATTTTTTTCTGGGTGAACAATTACTTGACTATTATCAATTAAATATTTACTTGAATCAAATAATTTCTATTTGGATCAATAAAATGGTATTTGCTTCAAAGACTAAAATTATTGGTTCGAATACAATTTATTTGATTTTAATAAAAATTATTTGATTCAAGTAAATATTTTCTTAATAATAGACAAGTATTCGTTTATTTAAATAAAATTTTTTTTTCCATGTAACAATAATAATAATAACTATTTAGTTACTCCTAAATTTGAATTAGTAAAAATGTTTACTAATCTGAATTAATCAATGACTTTTTGCATTTTAATTAGTAGATTTTACTAATAAATTAGTAGAAATGACTATTTATTAGTAGATTTTACTGATAAATTAGTAAAAATACTATTTATTAGATTTTACTAATAAATTAGTAGAAATTACTATTTATTAGTAAAATTTACTAATTCAAAAGCAAAAAGTTAGTCACTACAATTCAAATTAGTAAACATTTTTACTAATTCAAATTTAGAGAGTAAATAATTTCCAAATCACAATTAGTCACTTTTCATTAATAAAACAGTACCGATTCGTTCATCAAATTAATTAGTAATTAATAATTTTAGTCTAAATTAGTAATTTTAACTAATTCTTACTAAAGAAAATACTAATTGTAACTAAGAGAGTACTAATTCAATTGTTAAGACTACATTCTTTCAATTAGTAACGTTAACTGAATTAATTAGTAGCCTTAACAAAAAAATTAATAATCTTCTACTACCAATTAGCAGTTTTTGAGTGTAAATTAGTAAATTCTAACTGGAAAATTAGTCAAATCGTAAAATAAATTATTTAACGAACAAATCAGTCATATCTCGTTATTCAAATGTGACTAATTTTATATTTAAAAAGTATTGCCTCAAAATAATTATTATTTCAATACAATAATTGGAAATCAAAAAGCAAAAAAGTCCAAAAAGATGGAAATAAATTTCAACAGCCTCGAATAAATATCAAATAAATAGAAATTAAACAAATAAATAATCAAGATCCAAAACTTCAACCAGTCCTAAAAACTAATCATACTCTCGGTATTACAATAGAACATTTCGAAATATAAATTTTCCAAATTAATTCAACTATCGAATAATTATCACTAATTATAAGACATTGTTCAATAATTATGATATGGTACAGTGGAATCATTCACTTTCAATTAAAAAAATTATTGTCTCTGATACAGTTATTCTCAACAATCGATATATAATCTTTCGTTTTTCTCTAACAAGAATAGCGGAAAATATAGAAAAAGAATTCTTTTTTTTTTCTCTTGTAAATAGACTCTATCAGATTATTTCAAAAACTGCACATCATTCAAAAAAAGATACTTTCTCATTAGAACCCAAAAAGACATTTAAATTGATTTTTAAATTTTGTATTTAAATCAGGATTTAAATTCAAATAAAAATACAAAAAACAAAAATTGAATAAAAATTAAAAATTCTACATTTTCAAACTGCAAGTTAAAGCCCTCTATCAATTTGAAAACACACTCGAGGGATAACGAAACAAAACCAATCGGTAAGAGAGGTAATCCAGAGTCGTTAAAACAGTTTTTTCTTCTTCGAAAAACGAAAAAATCTTCATGATCGATACAAGTTAAAAGTATTTCATCTAATTTTACATGATATATAAAGATGTGAGCAATCGACTCAATTATCCTCTCTTTTCTACCTATTTTTCACTAAAACCAAAAAAAAAAAGGATAGAAAAATTAACTGTCGCGAAGAAAAAAATCAAGCTAATAAATTTAATTTGATTTGATGGGAAATTTATATTGTTTAGAATTATTAGCTGTCGATAAGAATGGAAACTTTCTGTTGAAGTGACGACAAGCCTCATACATGGACTGTAGGTAACGTGTTTGTGACCCGAGCCTCGATCTTAACGCCCAAGGCGCCGTGTTGGTGGAGTCGTCGGACGTGGTCCCATCTGCGGAATTCGTCCTGGAATTTCAAATTTCTTGTTATGGCAAAACATTTCAAAAAAAAGCGTCGCCAAAACAAAAAATTTCTTCATGATTTTCACCTCTCCATAAAGAAAAATAGACAAATTTTTATACAAAAAAAATAAAACAGCCAAAGAAGAAGAAGAACAAGAACAAAACTGAGAGAATAAATTTTTTTTCGCACTTATACTAACCATCGATTATTAATTGTATAATAAAAGGAGAAAAAATTCATATCCAGATAAAACTAAAAATGAACGAAACGAGACGAAATTCAAATTACCAAAAAAAGACACATGCACGTTAAACACTGAAGACTTTTTTTAAAAAAAGAAATAAGTCAAGAAAAGACACCCAGAAAAATTATACATTTGACTCAGACTTGGATTATTTATTTCTGCCAAATAAATTTTTTTTTAAACAAATAAATAACTCTCTATATTTGAATTAGTAACCATTTTCAATAATTTAACTTTTTGCTTGTAAATTAGTAAATGTTACTAATAAATATTAATTTCTACTAATTTATTAGTAAAATTTACTAATTCAATACTAATAAATAGTCATTTCTACAGAGTTGCCATAAACTTTAATTTTGCTTTTCCCTGACTTTTCCCTGATTCCCAGACAAAATTTTCACTTTTTCCTTGACCCTGAAGAACTTCAATAACTTCTTGTTTTAAATAAATATTTATATTTATATTTAATTTGAACCCTTTTCAAAATTCAATTATTTCTCAAAATTCACACAATAACTCTTCTAATATTCAATTATTATCTAAAATTTTACCTGAAATTCATTTTTTAAATAAATTTTTATTAGAAAATCAATCGAGAATTCAATTATTTACATACAAAAATAAATAATTTATTTAATAATTGAATTTTTATGAAAAATTTTTAAAAATAATTGAATTCTTTCGGTAAATTTAAAAAAAAATTAAGAATAAATGCAAGTTTCTATTATTTTATTTATAATTGTACAAAAAATAATTGAAATTCTGCGAAAAATTTTGTTATTTATGAAAATAATTGAATTCTTGCAACGGATTTTTTTAAAAATTTTTTTTAAAGAATTAAATTCCTGTGAAGAATTTTATTTGTAAAAATAATTGAATTACGGAGAAAAATATTATTATTCATAAAAATAATTATTAATTTCTTGTGAAGAATTTTATTAAAATTTTTTTAAATAATAAAATTTCTCAGAATTTTTTAAATCTTTTTAAAAATAAATAAAGCCTATGGAGAAATTTCATTAAAAAATTGAAAATAATTGAAATCTGACAAAGAATTAAAAAAAATTCTTTTTTAAATAATCTGACTTTTCCCTGATTTCCCTGACCAATTCTAATTTCCCTGAATTTCCTGGCATGTGGCAACCCTGTTCTACTAATTTATTAGTAAAATTTACTAATTCAAAATCAAAAAGTACGTCTCTAATTCAAATTAATAAACATTTTTACTAATTTTTTTATTGAATTAGTGACGGACTTTTTGTTTTTTAATTAGTAAATGTTACTAAAAATAGTTATTTCTACTAATTTATTAGTCAAATTTACTAATTCAAAAGCAAAAAGTCGGTACTAATTCAAGTTTTTTAAACATTTTTACTAATTTTTTTATTGAATTAGAAACCAACCTTTTACTTTTGATTAAAATACATTTATCTTAAAACCTGCTAAATTACTATTTTTTTATAAATAAAAATGTTATTCGACAAAAATATAATTTTTATTTGAACTAAATAAGAATTTCTTTGAACCAAATAAAATTTATTTGAAACAAACAAAAAAGTCTATTTGCCTCTGAGTCAAATATACCTTTTTTCTAAGTGAATAAAATTTTTATAACAATATATTATAATTAATAATTTGAATTATTAAAAAAATTAATAATTAATATATTATTATATTTACAATATATTATCATAAAAATATAAAATTGCCAAAGAAACACATTTTACAGAACGACAATAAACTCATAAATGTCAATAAATTTAATTTCAATTAAGAAATTATAGATAAAATATAGAAGAACTTTTCGGGAGAAAAAAAAAGGAATGTAAACGACAATCATATCACTCATCCTCTTATAAATAACTATAACCTTTTTAGAAGGATACTGGTTTCAATGATAATGAACTTTTGTATTGAATTATCGACATTATTGACAGTTATTGACTATCATTGTTTCGTCTGATAATTATTTTTTACTCCAACGATTTTGCAAAAAGATATAATAAGCCATATAAACATTAAAAATTAAAATTATTTATTAAATCTTTATACAGAATTTTATTTCTTAAAAGATTTAATTAAATTAATTCAAATTATTCAATTAGATAATATTTACTTCAAATACTGAAATGCAATATTTATTCTTTTTTATAATCAAAGAAATAATTCAAGTCATTTTTTAAAATATTTTACAATACCCAAAATAGTTCATTATCATTTTCTAATACGTGGGGAAAGAGAAACATTAATAAACATCCAGATGTTTCTAAACGATATTTTGTAGTCTAAACTAGCAATAAACTATATATAATAGACACTGAGAAGAAAAAATTTAACGAAAACCTATTTATATAAATTTCACTTTTGTTTCATAAACATTTAGATAGTAGAAGACCAAAAATATTTATTTAAAGATCTAAGAAATTCAATTTTAAAAGTGCTGATATTTTTGTTTTAAAAAAAACACAAGAATAAAAAATTCTATAATTGTCAGTATATACAAGGATGGAAAATACAAAAGACAACAACAAGATTATAAATTGAAGTTCCAATGTATAGAAAAAAATCTCCACATGTACTTGATAACAGAAATAATAAAAAATATTTATTACTAGTGTAAAAAATACAATAGAACTTCTATACTCTTTTAGTTTTATACAAAAATAGATTAAATTTTCGAATCAAAACAAAAATTTTAAAACTCTTTTTATAACAAATAAATTTTTCACAATTTATCCCGAATGATTAGATTATTAATTATTATTATTAATTTATTATTCCTTAACTCCAAAGTGATCGATAAATTTTTCACTAACTATATTAATTTATTATTAATTATTTAATTTATTTCTAGCATCTAGTACATGGAGATTAAAAATTGCACATAAAAAAATTTCTAACAAAGAGAATTCTAGGGGAACAATTAAACACCTATCTATATATGTTGTGTAAAGATACGAGAAGGTATTCTTTATAGTCAACATACTTGTGTATTTATCTCTTTATGACACTTGAATGATTAATTAACGAAGAGCTTACTACATAAGATCTGTAAAGCTGTCTCCATCACTGTCATAAAAATTAATTGTTAGTATACCATTAATATGTATGCGATAATTTTCCACCATATTGACGAATTGAGTGCTTCGAATTGAATTGCTACCAAAAAAAAAAAAAAATCACTGATTTAATAGAGTGAACGTACTTGAGAGCCTGAGAAACGTTTAAAATCAAGTTACTACTGTACTCTACAAAATTAAGTGCTCAATTACTACTCATATATGAAAATTAATAAAAATTAATAAATAAATATTAATTATTAATTATTTGTTTCAAAAATAGTATATTCAAGGCTGATCGCACAAATAGTAAGTCAGCTGAAAAAAAAACACGTTCAAAAGGCCGAAAATAAAATTTATGCAAAAAATTGTTTCAAAACCTCAGTTTTTTCTAAGGATATCAAATTGAGACAAAAAACTACGTTTTTTTGTCTCAATTTGATATCCTTAGAAAAACTGTGCTTACAAACTTCACAAATAATGCAAAAATATGAATTAAATTATTTGCAATAATTTAATTAAAAATTAAATTATTATTAAATTAATTTAATTATTAAAATTTAATTTTTAAAAACTTAATTTAAAACGTTGCTTTGCAACTATTTTGATGCGTTTTTTGACTCAATTTGATATCCATAGAAAAACTGTGCTTACAAACTTCACAAATAATGCAAAAATATGAATTAAATTATTTGCAATAATTTAATTAAAAATTAAATTATTATTAAATTAATTTAATTATTAAAATTAAATTTTAAAAAATTTAATTTAAAACATTGCTTCGCAACTATTTTGATACGTTTTTTTGTCTCAATTTGATATCCTTAGAAAAACTGTGCTTACAAACTTCACAAATAATGCAAAAATATGAATTAAATTATTTGAAATAAAAAAAATAAAAAGAATTTTTTAAGAATATTGATAATTGAGAATATACTATGCAGAGAAGCCTAACAAGTCAGAAAATTGCAGGATTAGCCGATTAGAATAATTATAAAAAAAAGGTTATAGAAAAAATTTTTTAAAATTCCAATTTGTAGTTTTTACAATAGAAAAAAAAAATAATTTTTTAAAAGAATGCTAAGATCATTGAGCACTAAATTCGTCGATACAGTTCTAGAACTTAATGACCATGAATAATTAATGTCACATTAACAATTTCTTTTATGAAATTGGTTTAGCCAGCTTTACAGACTTTACAAAATAATAGTAAACAGACACTACTGCACTACTATATATAAGGATAGAAAAAAATATGTTTGTGAACAATTATTGTCAATTTCACATAATTTCAGATTCCATAAATCTAAATACTTTTAATAATAATATTAATAAAAATCGAAAAAAATTTAAATAAATACAAAAAAAACCAAAGAATTGTTACCATTTTAAAAGCGGTCGTAAGTTCTCATTTGTGAATATTTTGACATTTACGTCAATAATTTGTATTAAAAATTTATTTTCTTTCTGTATTTTTGCTCCAAAAATTATGAACAGAACATAAAATTTTTTATTACTTGGGAGCGTGTTACAAATACAAGCTTCGCACTTCATAATTAATTTTAAAAAAGTATCAAAAAGTAGTTTTAAGAACAAAAAAAAGTAGCTATTAAAAATTAAATTTGACGACTAAAAAACTAAATCTGTAGTTCTTCCAAAATTCAATCATTTTTTTATTGACATTTGTAATTAAAATTATTCAAAACTTTTATCATTTTTTAAGTAAACAATAAATTAATAATTTTTATTAAATGAACATTTCAATTCTATCTATTAAAGTTTACATCAATTAAAATTTTTAAAGATTTCAATTTAAAAATATTTGGAAATTTAATTATTTCTAAAAATTCATAACATTACGCTTCTAATATTCAATTATTATCTAAAAATTAAAACTGAAATTTATTTTTAAATTAATTCTTTATTTATAATTTAAATATAGAAATAAATAAATTATTATTGAATAATGGAATATTTCTTAAAATTGATTTTTTATAATGAATTAAATTACTGATAAAAATTTATTAAAATTATATTCAAAATAATTGAATTTATCTAAAGTATTTTATTATTTATATGAAAACAGTTGAATTACCAGAAAGAATTTTATTTTATGAGAAGAATTCAATTTTTAATTTGTCGACAAATTTAATTAAAATTTAATTGAAAATAATTTAATTCTTTTATAGAATTTAACTAAGATTTTTGAAAATAATTGAATTTCTGCGAACAATTTTATTAATTTTTTTTTAAATAATTGAATTATTTTATGAAATATTATTAAAATTGCATTAAAAATAATTAAATTCCTGCTTTTAGTGTTACGAATCTAAAAAAAATATTTAAATAGTAGCAAATTGTATAAAAAAAGTATCTAATAAATAGTAGATTTTATTAGATAAGTGCGAAGCCTGCAAATATAATTTATTTGAATTAAATAAAAGTATATTTGTCTCAGAACCTACTAAATTATTTATTTGTTTTAAATAAAAATGTTATTCGACATAAATAAAACTTGTTTCTCTCTAAATTTGAATTAGTAAAAATGTTTACTAATCTGAATTAATCAATGACTTTTTGCTTTTCAATTAGTAAATTTCACAAATACATTAGTAGAAATTACTATTTATTGAAATTTCAATTAGTAAATTTTACGAATAAATAATAATGTCTACTAATTTATTATCAAAATTTACAAATTCAGAAACAAAGTCAGTTACTAATTAAAATTAGTATTTTTAATACTAATTAAAATTAGTATTCAAATTTAGAGAGTTGATATAATTTACTGTTAATTACTTTTTTTCTTTATTTTTCATCCTATCTCAATTTTTATTAATTAATTTATTCAATTAATTTTTTGTTTTTCATGAATTATTTATTTTGTTGTTTTTTTCTTCTTTAATTTTTTTACACTCATAGTTAATTGCAAGGAGTTTGTAAAATATAAATGTTATGTTTGTTTGGCTTTATTTTAACCCCAGGAATTTTTGATTATTATAAATAAATAAATATTTTAACTAAATAAAATTTATTAAAACCAAAAAAAACAATTTTCTACTCTCTAAATCTGAATTAGTAGAAACGTTTACTAATTTGAATTAGTGACTGACTATTTGCTTTTGAATTAGTAAAATTTACTAATTAATAGCAGTTTTTACTAATTTATTAGTGAAATTTACTAATTCCAAAGCAAAAAGTCAGTTAGTAATTAAAATTAGTATTTTTACTAATTCAAATTTAGAGAGTAATAAATAAAAAGTCTAGTTGACTCGGAGTCAAATATATCTTTTTTCCTGGTGTAAAACAATAATCAATGAAATCAAAATGAATCTCTTCTTACTGCATCCAGAAGTTTACCAAAAAAAATACCAATCAAAAAACAAAGAAAAAAAATGAAAAGAAAAACAAAAAATAATAGAAATAATTTTTAAAGACAAAAAATTAAAAGGAAGAAAAATATTTCAAAATTTAATAATTAAATTAAGAAAAGCAAAAAATTCAATTTCTCCAACATTGATATAAAAGTACAACCCACATGTTCTTAACTCACCGATGAGATAAAAATCTTATTATTTCCCCAAGATGAAAAAAGAAAAAAAATACACCTTACAATACATCGAATTTTCTTCTCCATTTTTTCTCCTACGTGTTTTATTTCACTAATAACTGATTTTACAAAAAAGACCATGATAAATCTGACTTGAAATAAAAAAAAGAAAAAAGAAAAAAAATCACACGTTTGCGAAAATCTGAAATTATGTGAAAAAGACTATGGTGTGTGTGCATTATATGTGATTCCTGAGACCTATAGTGGTCTGACCTGGAGACTAGATATCTTGGGGAGCGAGAAAATCGAGTTGCTCTTAAAGTCGGTAACCATCCAAGACGAGCTAGTGCTCCAATGTGTCTTTTAGTTGGTTGAAGCAAGTTGTCATATACCTTCCTGGTATCACTGTCCTGCATCTCCACCACAGGACCTGCTCCTAACACGCACATCTCTCAGTCGGAATAATCTTTCAATGCAATAATATTGCCTATATCGACTATAGTTATTGTATATATATATAAGTGATATATTAAACTGATAAAAGGAATTGATGCTCAAAAGAGAAATAAGGAGCGAGTGAGTGAGAGAATGAGAAATAGAGACTCTGGTGATAAGAGGTGAAGGGAGAAAGGGGGAGGGGAGGGAAAATACACAACGAACACACTCTCTGGATCAATATTGAGCATTATTGTTTAGTCCCTTTTATCAATGACAATTGTTGCATCATCATATTCTTATCATACTCATGTATAGCCATTACATTATTGTAAAAATTAAAAAAAATCCTTTTCTCTTACAATGCGGTAAAAGAAAACTAATTTCTTATTTCATTTCATTTTATTCATTAGCCAAATTAATTTCACAGACATCATCATTAATTTATTTATTTCTCATTTAATTCACTACTAAATGTTCTCCAATAAACTAAATTTTCCCATCAGCCAACGAATTAGCAAAATAATTACTTTTACTATCACTTGAATAAAAATCTAACCAGCTATTCATTCATTTTTATGAAACTACTCTTTTATCTGCTACTTGAGTTATTATTTTAAGCACACAGAAAAAAAATTGTTAATAAAGAACAAAAATTAATAAAGAAACAAAAAAATTACGATTCTTGACACAAAATTTTTTGTTGCTTAAACAAATGCATGTTTTAAATAAAAAATTTCATTTGAAGTAATAAAAATTCAAACGCTCTATCACTGCGTTTAACAGAAAAAAAAACCCCTCGAAAATTTAACAAAACGCCTTTAACTTACAGTTAAAGTTTTGATCCATAACATTTAAACCATACTTTCACAAAAAAAAAAAATTCAAAAAAAATAATTTCCTAAACTTCCAACTTTACCATACAGTTAAAAAAACAACATTTCAATAAGATCGACCTGATGAAATAAGGATGAAGAAGAAAAATATATTATTCCTCACGAAAAATGAGAATGTAAAAAGAATACAATAAAGCAAATTCAGCAATGAAAAAATGTCAGCAAATAAAATAGACAGCAAAATAAAATCTCAGAGAATGTAAAATCGAAAAAACCTTATCGAATTATTTTAATGATGAATAAAAATAACGAAAAGCTGATAATAAAGAAGCAACTATTACAATTTATGTGATAAAAAAAAAGATTTTTCTAAACCTTTTTCTCAAAAAGAAAATTTGCCAAAATAAAATGATATCAACGGAAAAGAATATTTTTATCTTTTATTCCAAAACTCACCCATGAACCTCTTCTCTGTTTTAGGATACTGTTCAGCAAGGGCTTCCAAAAGCTCCTCATAATCGAAAACATTGTTATTTTGCATGACCGGCAATGGATATTCATCACTAAAATCAATTTGCCTCTTCGGCCTTTTACCTCCCGAGGCTAATTTTCCAGTCCTATTTTTCGCAAGAAAACTCAAAACGAGGGGTATTTTTGATCTCCCCGATCGTTTATGTACAGTCGGCCAAGCACGATTTTTCGATAAAGATGCAACATTTCTCTTATCTTCATTTTCAATTTCGTCATATGGCAAACTCAAAATTCTCAGTAAGGCTCGCTTTCGTCCAGCGCCAGCTGGCATTGGCGGTAAATTAAAATCCCTCGCTAATGACGCTATATTACGTTTGCCACCGTAACTCCTCATAAAAGACGCTAAATTTCGTTTTTCATACGACACTGGCGACTCCGTCAGAAAATCACTAAAATTTCTCTTTCCTCCAGGAAGAGCATAATCTCTTGCTAACGATGCCAAATTTCTCTTGCCTGAGAAATACAGAAAACATTTTTATTTTAACATTTATTAGAAACTATAATTAATACTTAAAGAAACTCAACCACTAATTCATCAAGAAAAAGAAGCAACAAACTAATATTTTTCAGATTCATTTTTTTCTTCTCCAAAACTAGATAAATTTCTAAACTACAATATTTTTTTGAAACCAAAACATGCGCACGGTGTTGCAGGTCACAATCACCCAATTCACATGCAAATCACTCGAAAAATATTTGCTTATAAAAGCGTGCAAGGACAAAATATAAATATTTTCAATAAATTTCAATAAATCGACACTCTCGGCACACGTTTACGGCTATACAATTTTTTGTGTACGAAATAAATAAAATAAACCAACTTACAATACTGAATTCTACGATCTATTTTACCAAATCCTCTAAAAACTATATACTTGCACGAAATGCACATAATCGAATTCAAAAAAAATCTATTCTTACAATTTTCCTCTTGTCTCATTTCAAAATAATATTAATTAATTTCAGCAGAAAAACTACTAAGTTTTTAACAAAGGGACAAAAATTTTAAAAAACAAAATTTCACTACATTTCTAAACCTACAAAATGAACGGAATTTTTTCTACTTTAACTACAATCGACCCTCGATAAATTGAATCACAAGAGACAAAAAATTCAAACTATATCTAGGCTTTTATTTATCGAATGTTTTAAAAGTATCAAAATTTTTTCAAGGAACACGAAATGAAATTTTATTTGTTTAATAACATCAACATTTTTTTATCGAAAGTTCAATTATCGAGAGATGACTGTATTTACAAAAATTAATCGACTAAAGTGAAAAATAATGTAAATTGAACATTTACTTAGTCAGAAATTAAATTTTTTAATATACAAAATAAAAGAAAAATAATATTTTCTAAGAAAATACAAAAACAGAGTTGCCACAAAATTTTTTTTTTTATTTTTCCCTCATTTTCAGACAGAATTTTGATTTCTTTTCCTGATCTCTATAAAAAAAATTCAAGAGCAGTTCAATTTATTATAACAAAAAAGATAATTTTTAGAAGCAAAAAAATTGATTTAAAACTTTAGGACTGTCCACTATTTTTTTAAATGAAATTATTTCAGTTGCGAATTTTCCTCGATTATTTTCAAAAATTTCAATAAAATGCAATTATTATTCATAGAGTTTCAGAAAATTTCAATTATTTCAAGAATTTTAATTACTTTTTCATAAAAATCCAATTATTCTCCATATAATTTTAGGAAATTTCAATTATTTCAGACAAATTTTCAATAACTTGTTTATAAAAATTCAATTATTTTTTTATAAAATTTTACAAATTTAAAAAATTCAATTAATATTTATAGAATTTCAGGCAATTTCAATTATTTAAAAAATGTTCAATTACATGTTTATAAAAATAAAATTATTTTTTTTTATAGAATTTGAGGAAATTTCAATTATTTCAGAGAAATTTTCAATTAATTGTTTATAAAAATTCAATTATCTTTAAACAATAGAACTGAAATATTTCAAAAACTTCATTTTTCAGAATTTCAGATAACATTTTTTTAAACTTTAATTTAAAAATTTTTTTTTTTAAATTATAGAAAATAAATAAAAAAATTTTAATTTATCTTTCTTTTTAAAATTAATTAAGGGCATTTGAACCTTTATAACGTCACAGTTTTAAAAAATGCTTTTCATAAACTGTGACGTCATAAAGGTTTAAATGTTCTTAAACAAAAAAATACGAAATGTAATTATTTCAGAATTAAATTATTTTAGATGCAATTTTGACAAATTACACTACCGTCGGAAATTATCGGTACGGCTGCACGCACAGGGCCCAAAAACATACCAATCTTCAAATCACGATTTCTTTGTAAATACAAATGTCAGAGGATTAACAAATACACCATTCGAAAGATTATTAAATTCTACAATTAATGATATGTAACTGAAAATTTTAATAATTTATACAAAGCTTGCAGCAATCTACAAATTTGACAAAAAAATTTTTAAAATAAAATTTTTTTGGAAATTATTTCAACCCCTGCACATTTTTTAAAAATTGTAGGAAAAATTTGAAACTTATATAGGTGTAATCATTGAAATCTCATCTTTAATTTAAGACCAAAAGAGTTAAAAAATCTTATTCGGTTCGAGAGATATCATTATAAACGGCCGAGCATTTTCAGCCAAAAAACGTTCAAAATCGACTAATTCAATGCATTTGTCAAAAAACATGCTCGGACGTATATAATGATATCTCACGAACCGAATAAGATTTTTTAACTCTTTTGGTCTTAAATTAAAGATGAGATTTCAATGATTACACCTATATAAGTTTCAAATTTTTCCTACAATTTTTAAAAAATGTGCAGGGGTTGAAATAATTTCTAAAAAAATTTTATTTAAAAATTTTTTTTGTCAAATTTATAGATTGCTGCAAGCTTTGTATAAATTATTAAAATTTTCAGTTGCATATCATTAATCGTAGAATTTAATAATCTTTCGAATGGTATATTTGTTAATTTTCTGACATTTGTATTTACAAAGAAATCGTGATTTGAAGATTGGTATGTTTTTTTTGGGCCCTGTGCGTGCAGCCGTACAGATAATTCCCGACGGTAGTGTATATTGCTGCTTTTTACACTAACAAACAAAAATATTTTCCATTGAGATTCTTCGTAAAATTCAATTATTTACTAATCATTAAATTAAAAATGTTTTCAAGTACTATTTTTTTTTTAAATCTAATCAAAAGTTTTTAATAAAATTTTATTATTTTCAAATTCAATTTCCTAAAGTTTCAAAATAATTTCATAATTCTTTGATAAAATATTTTTGAAAATTCAAATACACTTTAAAAAAACGAATTAAAATTTCTCAGAAAACTAATTCTTTTTTTTAATTTAAAATAAAATTATTTTAAACTTAAATAATTTTTTAATTAAAAATAAATTTTTCTTAAAAAATATTCGAAAATAAATACAAATTTTTCTAAAAATTGCTTCTGTTTTTTAACTAAAAAATTTCTTTTCTAAGTTAAAAATATTTAATAAACTTTAGGAAAATTATTCCAGAATTTAATTATTTACAGAAATAAGAAAAAACTCAAGGTGCTGTTTTTAAATTCATTGAGAAGAAAAATTTTTTAAAAAATTTGTAAATAATATTGAATTTATGCAAAATTTTTATTATTTTTGAAAATAATTAATCGTTCGATTAGAATTTTATCTAAATTTTTTTTTTAATAATTGAATTCTTTTAATAAAATTTTTAAGAATAATTACATTTTCAGGAATTTGATTAAAATTGTATTAAAAATAATTGAAATTCTGCGATGATTTCTATTATTTATGAAAATAATTAAATGTTTACGAACAATTTTATTAAAATTGTTTTTAAATAATTGAATTCATAATATACAAGCAATCGATCATTTGAATCAAATAAATTTTTGACTAACTTTTTGCTTTTGAATCAGAATGCAAAAAATTCAGTAAAAGAATTTTCCTACTGATATAAATCAATAAATTTTACTTGATTTGAAAGCAAAAAGTCAGTCACTAATTCAAATCACTTAAGTTTATAATTAATTCAGATTTAGAGAGTAAATATTCTGAAAGAAGAAAAAATTTCAAAACAGAATTCTAAATATCTAACATGCAGACAAATATTTACTTTCAGAAATTCCAGAAAAGGACGAACTTCCAAAAAAGAAAGGAAATCTACATACAAAAAAAATGACCTTTCAGAAAACGACGAATCAAAAAAATGAGACAAGAGAAAAATATTGTAAATTAAAAAAATTGCTTTGAATTCAAAATTATTCGCCATTTCCAAGTGAAATGAAGCTTCTAAAAACTAACCATATGACGGTAAATTTGATTCCCTGGCTAAAGAAGCAATATTACGTTTTTCCTGTCCATAATCCCTTTCTATCGCCTCAAAGTCAATTTGTCCGTTAGGAAGTGAATATTCCCTAGCAACAGCATGCACATTTTTCTGATCATTATCATTGAGAATTTTCAAAATAATATCTAATGTTTCATTATCAAATTCAGAAGCCTCATCATCGTCATTATTTATTCCATCTTCCCCACCTTCGCCATCAGTTGGTCCATTGCCCATTTCATCATCATCCTGCTCCTGTGTAATTGTTGGCATATCATTATTTTTCGCCAATATCGCCAGACTACGTTTAATATCGGCCTCCTGATAAGATTCAAGTGGATTTTCAAGAATTTTCAAAGCACGACTTATTGCACTTAAATGACCACGCATCGCTGGATTTCTAAATAGTTCAAGATAAACGGCCGCCGGAAGACAAATTTCACCATCGTCACTATTACTGTCCTCTGAATTTATTGCCTTCCAATTATCCATTTCATCTCGATTCTTCGATTCCTGAATTAATCCTGCCGTTCTCGAGTATGCGGCCAAATTTGAACTAACTTCCGGTAGACGTAAAAGGGCCAAAAATGTTTTTTTCGGCAAACATCCACTGGATGGTGTTTCGTCATCTTGACATGTTACCTAACATCATTAGAAAAATGTTTGCAATTTATCTTTTTTTTTAAAAAAAAAACCTAAAGTGTTCCGATGAATTAGATCTGATCCCAAATTTTTTCTACTTGTAAAATTTATTTTCCTTTGATGAGATTTTTTCAAAAAGGTAAAAACTTCTCTCTACACCCTGAAAAATTTTTATTTAAAACAAATATAATTTGTCTGAGTTAAGTAAAAATATATTTGTTGCAGAACCAACAGAGCTCGAACCAGTAAAATTATTTAAAAATACGGACTTTACGGACCAAAAATTAAAAATTACGAACCATTTACGGACCAATATTACTGACAAAAATATAACCTGTCCGAGTTAAATAAGAGAACATTTTACTTAAAACTATAAATTAAATTTTTCATAACTATAAAACATTATCAATTCATTATTTATTATCAATTCAATTATTTTAATATTCAATTACCTACTATCTAAAATTTTAATTGAAATTAATTTTTAAATAAATTTTTATTAGAAAATTCTACTAGAATCGCTAGGAAGAATTTTATTATTTTTTAACAATATTCAATTTTAGCGAAGAATAAGAGTAATAACTCTTAAAAATAATTCAATTTCTGCAATAATTTCTAAATTTTCAAAAATTTAATTTTTTTTTGTGTTTTTAACTAAAATTTTTCTATAAATGCATTATTTTTAATAATTTTTGAAAAAGTTCTTTGAGAATTCTAAAATTCATTTTTTTATAATTCAATTTTTCCAAATTTCAATTATTTCTAAAAAATCACGCTCTAATGCTTTTAATATTCAATTATAATCTAAAATTTTAACTCAAATCTATTCTTAAATAAATTTTTATTAAAAAATTCTACTAGAATTCAATTATTTAAATTAAGAAAAAACAATTTATTGAAAAATTTAGAAAAAATAATAATTTTTTGAAATAATTTTTAATAATTTTTTTAGCATGTTTCTTATAAACTTGAATTCTCATAAAGAATTTCATAAATAAATTTTTAAATAATTGAATTCTTCTGACGAATTTTAATAACATTTTTAAGAATAATTACATTTTTCGAGGAATTCGATTAAAATTGTATTAAAAATAATTGATATTCTTCAAATGAGTTTTATTATTTATGAAAATAATTGAATTCCTAAAAAGAATTTTATCATTTACGAAAATAATTGAATCTCTTTAATAATTTTTTTTTATAAAAATAATTGAATAAATTATATTGCGAAGAAATTTATAAAAAATTTGTAAATAATTGAATTTCTGTGATTTTTTTATTATTTCATGAAAATAATAAAGATTTGCGTAGAATTTTATTAAATTTTTTTAAAAATAATTGAATTCTTTTGGAAAATTTTATTAAAGATATTAAGAATCATTGAATTGAGGAACATTTTTTAAAATAAATGAAATTTTGCCAAGAATTTTATTAAAATTTTTGTAAATAATTGAATTTCGGAGAAGATTTTAATTATTTCTAAGGATAATTGAAATTTTGACGAGAATTTTGAAAAAGTTTTTGAACATAATTGAATTTCTGCGAAAAATTTTATTACTTTTGAAAATAATTGAATTTCTGCAATCATTTATAATTTCTCTAAAATTCCCATAATTACATCGTACAATTTACGTACTTTTTGTAATTTGTAATTTATAAAAATATTTATAATAAAAAAACAATTCGTTTATTTAAAAGTATTTCCTTCTTCAAAATTTTATTGCAAAAATTTTGCTTTACGTTACAAAAAAATTAATTATAACTTTTTTAAATGTAAAATTAAAATTTCTAACTTTTATTGCAAACACTAATTTCGGAAAATATTTGTAATTAAAAAAATATTTCATTCAAAATTTATGGTTCTAAAGTTCTGAACGTTCAAGGGAACGGAATTTTTTTATTTCCTCATCAAATTAAATTTCTATTACAATAATTTTGGGTCACTTGCAAAAAAAAGTTAATTATGAAGTTTCTAGATCTAAAATTTATTTTTTAAATTTTTATTGTAAAAAATAATGTTGAAAAAAATCAGTAAAAATTTACTGTTTCAGATTTAAAAAGTATAAAATTTGCTAAATTACAAAAAATTCTAATTCTGAATTAAATTTTCATTTTTAAATAAAGTTAATTAAATTAGTTTCTTTTATTTGAATTTAATTTATTTTTATTTCATTTTCGTTCCTTTAAACATTTCCTAAATTTAATTTATTATTCAATAAATTTAATTAATAATATAACACTAGAAACATTTTTCAAGAACACTGAGTATTTTTTAGCTACTATTTAATACCCTTTAAAAAAAAAAATTTTTAATTTACTTTTCAAGAAAAATTGAGTAAATAAAAAATAATTCAAGTATATTATAATTTTAACTGTTTCGGATTTAGGGGGTATAAAATTTGTTAAATATAATTATAATTATTATTTAATATGCTAATTAGATTTATAATAAAATATGTTAATTATAATTATAATAACATATGCTTATTATAGTGATAATTATAATAATAATAAAATATGCAATTTTATAATTACAATTATATTTTAAAAATAAAAATAAAAACCAGTCAACTCTACTTTTACTCCAATTAGTAATGAATCACAATTTTAAAAACGATTCCGTTTCAATTATAAACACGAGAAAGAGAAAATTGAAATGTAAAATTATTTTCTATTTATAAAACCAACTTTTTGCAAAAAAAAAAAAAAATCAGGTTACTCGTTGATACTCGTAACGCAGATGCTAATGACAGCAGTTACAAACTACGAAAGTCCTCAATATTCCTCTCATAATACACATATATATAATAAACTAAATCCCACAAAATATACAATTTTTTTTCTCCCATAAAAGTCATTTATTTGTAACCAAATATATTTTTTTTTAATTTCAAAGCTAAAAATAAAATTTTTTTCTTTCTGCGTAACTCTTATATTTACAAAAAGAAAAATAAATATCAAGTTCACTCGTATATATAATGTCACTTTTTTCAATGAGAAACTTTCAATTTATTTATATTTGAAAAAGTTTTCTCAACTACTCGCAAAGAAATTTTAATACCTCACTATAATTAAACTATGATCAAAGTTAATGAAGCTCTTGAAAATAATTTTATCGCATTTTATCGATTTCAATAAAAACTTGGTTAAACTCACGCGCGTTTTAATATTGTGCTCTCTTAAAAATTTCTTTTCAATACAAAGTAAATTTAAAAGGAAACCAAAAAAGAGCAGAAAAAAGCTTAATTAGAAAAATTGTTCTTTAATTTTATTTCTACTTAACATCAATTTTTTTTTAATCTTAACACAAAGTAATCAAACCCTCAAAAGTACTGCGATATTTGAATTTAAATTCTTTGCCTGATTATATATAGTCATCTTTAATTAAAATCATTAAAAAAAAATACCATAAAATTCTCGTTAAAGTTGAAAAATACTAATAAAAATTTAATACTCATTTACATAAAAAAGTGGAAAAATTAAAATTAATTAAAGGAGAAAAATGTGGTACTAGCAAGATTAATTAAAGAAAAATTGGTACTAAACTATCAAGATTCAAACGTTAATAACTAAAACATTTTTAAGGAAAAAATTTTCTAAATTTAATATGAAAAAAAAATCAAAAGTTAACTAATATTAAAAAGATTTTTTTAAAAGTATTTTTTCTCTTCAAATCAGTGTTCTCAAAGTATTTAATTTAACGTTCCAATAGATCATAATGAATTATTACGCGAGTTGTCATATTGTGTCGTCTCGAAACACACATTAAATTAGCAACGATCTACCTCAAGTGAGAATTTGCGCGTGACATTTGACCGTCAGACACAGCACTACGTCAATTTGTATGCATACGCGCAGGTGGAAATGATAATTACAACATAACATTTAATAACTCAAGGGATGTACCTATTAAATTAATAAATTTTTTATTATTATCAATTTCCCAAAAAACAATTTTTCATTATTTGTTTTAAATAAAAAAGTTTATTCGACATAAAGAAAACCGTTATTTTAATCAAATAAAATTTTATTAGACCCAATAAAATTTTATCTGAACTAAATAAAATTTATTTGAAACAAATAGAATTTTATCCGAACAAAAATAAAATTTACTTGAAACAAATACATTCTGTTTGGTTTAACAGGGTTGTCAAAAATATTTAATTTTATTTATCCCTGACTTTTCCCTGATTTCCACACAGAATTTCCACTTTTTCCCTGACGCTAAAGAATATTCTGATTCACTCTAAAAATTATTATTAGATACTCAAAAAAATTTTCTATTACATTTATTTACAAATTTACAAGTAGTAAAATTTCTCAAAAACAAATTCAATTATTTAACAAAAATGTAATAAAATTTGTTTCAATAATTCAATTATTTTCATAAATAATAAATCGATTATTCGGTAATTAATTTTGAAATCAATTTTTATTAGAAAATTTTAGAAAAATTCAATTATTTAAATTAAAAAATAAATAGTTTATTGAATAATTGTTTTTAAAATTTTAATAAAATTTTTAAGAATAATTACATTTTTCGAGGAATTCGATAAATAATAACTGAATTTCTGTGAAGATTTTTATTATTTATATAAATAATTGAATTCTTGCAACGAATTTTATTCAAGTTTATAAAAATAATTGAATTTCGATGATGAATTTTATGATTTATAAAAATAATTGAATTCTTAAAAAAAGAACTTTGTTACATTTTTTTAAATAATTGAATTCTTGCGACGAATTTTAAAAAAATCTTTTTAAATAATTGATATTTTTCGAAAAATTTTATGAAATTTTGTATGTTAAATAATTGAGTTCCTGTGAAAATTTTATACTTATAAAAATAATTGAATTATTACGAAGAAATTTATTGAAAATTGAATAATTGAATTCGTGTGAAATTTTGTCAAGAATTTTATTAAAATTTTTTTAAATATTTGAATTTCGATGAAGAATTTTATTATTTATAAAGATAATTAAAATTTTGACTAGAATTT